ATGGTATTTGCCATCATCATCAGGAGCTGCAATAACATTGAGAAAAGTATCAACAATTGTGCAAATGAATTTAATTAACTTACCTTCTGCCATCTGTCAAAAGGTTCATCTTACTCATGATTCTATGCCCACCATTTGTGCAATCATCAAGTGGTTCACGATGTAATGTTTAACTTTCGTCTTAAATATTTTTAATCTGTTTTTAATTTGTTCTTGTCATACAGCTGTGTGTAGTTTGTATAATTTTGAATATTGTACCATGTATCCATCTTTCACCAGGTTACTTGGGTGTTTCCCTCATCCTTAACGTAAATAACATTTAGCAACATCCTCACATACTACTGTAAGTTAATTTAAATTCATTTTGCACAATTGTTGCTACTTTTCTCAATGTTATTGAAGCTCCTGATGATGATGGCAAAGACCATTGAAAGCTAGAGAGATTAAAAAAGTATAAAGAGTCCTCCTTGCTTAAATTTTGTCGAAGTACCCAACAAAAGGCGGAAGCATTAATTTTATATATATATATATATATAGTATTCATAGTTAATTGCCTCAACTGTTAGGAGAAACTATCCTTGAATTTGTTTGGGTAGAAGGCAAAGTATTGCAAAAGTATACTCTTATAACTTAAACTCGAGCTTTCGAAGATCTATGTCTTCATCGTCTGGAGCTAGAAACAATTATTGACAATAGCAACGAATAACAATTAGGAGGAAAAATAGCTACTTACTGGACTGATATCCTGACGTCCTAATCGAACCTCATCAGTCCAGTTTTTTATTCGTCGACTATGTGTTCCCTTCACTGTTGATTAAAAAAAATTTCAGCAGCAATCTCGCCGACTTAGTAACTATTTTTTCTCCTAATTGTTATTTGTTGCTATTGTCAATAATTGTTTTCGGCTCCAGACGATGAAGACATATATCTTCGAAAGCTCGAGGTTAAGATATAAGAGTGTACTTTTGCAATACGTTGCCTCCTGCCCAAATAAATTCAATGATATATTATTAATTATATATATATATATATATATATATATACAGGGTTATCCAAATTAAGTGTCCACCATTAGTAACTTTGTTATTAGTGAAAATACAAAGTTGTTTGAATTAGCAAACTAGTAGCATTTTTAACGCTGGTAAAAATGAGAAATGAAAAAAAAACAATTGAGAGTCGTTATTTTGATTTTTTTCAGTAAAATAACATTTTTTTAAATGGAAACCCCTGTATATTATATTTTTTTCTGTTAAAGCATCAAATTTTAAACGAAAAAGCTTACAATAACTTTTCTCCTAGGTTACAAATTGTTGAAGTTATCGCCTCCAATCTGAAACAATTAAATTGCATCGACAAACTTTATTTTCAACATCAACTTATAATCTTACAAAATACAATAACAATTTTTTTTAAAGAAGATGCTCGAAAACACCACCTTGTTCTTCAATACATTTTTGGGCACGTTTTTCAACTGCTCGAACTCTCTTAAGTATGGTCCTACCATCTATCTGGGTTATCTTTTCCCTAACTGCAGTCTGTAACGCGTCAAGGTTATCGTACCTTCGCTTGTAAATTTGGTTCTTTAAGTAACCCCACAAGAAGTAATCAAGTGGGTTTAGATCTGGTGATCTGGGAGGCCACTGTATTAGGCCATTTGTTCCTATCCACTGATCATTAAAAGTAGTACTTAGAAAATGATAAGTACCTCTGGAGTTGTGGGCAGGTACGCCATCTTGCTGAAAATGCAGATGATGTCTACTTATAAGATCCAATTCGTCTAAGAAATTAGTCAGAATTTCTGACATAAATTCCACATATCTTTCACCAGTTAGGGTTCCCTCATAAAGAACGGGCCAACAATTTTTGAACCAATTATACCGCACCAAACGTTGAAACTGAAACGGACTTGTGGGCCTCTTGGATGTACTAACAAAAGATTTTCTCTTGACCAATAATGGTGGTTTTTTCTATTAAACATTCCAGAATTTGAAAAATTTGATTCATCTGTCCATAAAAGGTAACGAAAGTTATTTACATTTTGGCGACAGAAGCTAAGATACCAATGGCAAAAAACAAGTCTTCTCTCTGGATCCCCTGCCAAAAGCGTTTGAACTGGTCGGTACTTATACGGAATAAATTTGTATTTTTTTAAAATCCTTTGAACAGTACCATAACTGAAATTAGAGTCCTTGAGACTATCTGCTATTGAATTCTCACGATAAGCTTCAAAATATCCAATAACTGCAATTTCCGTGGCCTCGCTTATTATGAATTCTTTTTTTGCCCTTGTTTTAGCAAAAACATTTTCGTTGCCCCTAAATTTTCGATAAAGTCTCAGAAAATATCGTTCATACGGTTGAATGCGAGCGGGATATAATTCACTGTAGTATTCTCTTGCTCTCAAGAAGGATTTTCTGCACACTAAATAGCATTCTAACATATCACACTTTTCTTCATGGGAGAAAATTTTTCTTTAAATTAATGACACAATAAAGCTTATAAACAAGTATTTACACTAATGTTTGACATTATTTGATTTTATCATTGTTTTCCAAAGCCTTCTAGTTGCGAGTATGTCCAGTTTAACAATTTGTCGCTTATCTTAATGCTGTCAAATCGCGAACGCCATGTTGTTTTCATAGCCGTCTTAATATTATAATACTGCAAATAATTAAAAATATTTATCGTTATTTTGACTTTATTTTTGACTTTAGCGGAAAAGTCATTATGAACTTTTTTGTTTAAAATTTGATGCTTTAACAGAAAAAAATATAATATACAAGGGTTTCCATTTAAAAAAATGTTATTTTACTGAAAAAAATCAAAATAACGACTCTCAATTGTTTTTTTTATTTCTCATTTTTACCAGCGTTAAAAATGCTACTAGTTTGCTAATTTAAACAACTTTGTATTTTTACTAATAACAAAGTTACCAATGGTGGACACTTAATTTGGATAACCCTGTATATATATATATAATTAGCGATACTATTTTTAACTTTGATTTCCGGTAAATTACTTAGATTTGAATGAAAACTATTGAAAATTAGACTTTATGCCTTGCCAATGACCGCAGCTGCCGGAACGATGCTAGCTTTCATCCTTGTTGGAATCGTCAGTACGATATAAGACATACTATAAACATTTATCAATACTGTGATTCAATTATTGCTACTTAGGTATCACGGATTAATTCCAAAGGCGACTGAGCAATAAAAATATATGATAATGTATAGCCAGATGATAAATTTTTATTGTATTTTAGTGCAAATACATGTAAATTTCTTAATGTAGGTAAATGTGTCAATAGGATTTTAGCTTTGCAAGAGGAGTAGTTGAATAAATCGTTAATCTGTCGTAGACACTTGAAAAGACGCAAAAAGTTTAGCAACATTTTACAAGATTTTACGAGAACCGAAACATGTTTATCTTGACCAAAATTATGAATGAGCGTGTGTTTGCTAACAATTCAAGAATATGGACACCAGATAACTATCGCAGAAGCCTAAACATAAACATATGTTAAATACACACATCAAGTTTTAGATCTTTTTTACGGGTTGCATAATATACAGTTGTACGGATTCCAATAAAAATAAACATTAGCTGTGGTAGGTAACGGTGTCTTCTATTTAAAATAAAATATGACATAATTGTTGTAAACAACATTGCACTTTTCTTGAAAGGGTATGCGGTCATAACGTGCAATGAGATGTAACTACGGGCCCCTTCCCACTTCAGTTGGCCCACTTCAAGATTCGCCTTTATAAACTAGACATAACGAAACTATTTACTTCTAAAACAATTTATTTTCACAAAAACATCTTAGATACACTCTAGTCGTAAAAAATACATATTTGAAATCACTTAGACCTATAACTAATAGAACATCTGAACAGATAAACAATGTGCGAATAAATGCGCGAAGTTAACAAAGCAACAATTGAAAGATTACCATTGGATAACATCACCTTTATCTTTTATTACGGCTGAAATTCTTTGGGGCGTACTGTTAACCAAGTTTTTGGCATAAATTTGGTGTAAAACAATCCCATATCTCTTGAAGCTTTTGTCTCAGTGCGGTGATTGTACGAGCAGGATGTTGTCGTAGAACCTTTTGCATCTCGTGCCACAAAGTTTTAATAGGTGACAGATATGGAGTGCTAGAAACCCATTTCAAAAGTGGTACATTATTTTCTTCCATCCATTTTATAGCCTTTTTTGAGGTATGGCATGCTGCACCATCTTGCTGAAACACAAAATCTTGGCCGGATGTCAAACATTCTTCCCTAACTGGTAAAAGCGATTCTTCTAAAATTGCCAAATATTTGTTTGTATCCACATTTCCATCAATAAAATGAAGTTTTTCTACTCCTTTTGATGACATGCTGCCCCAGACCATAATGGATGCTGGAAATTTCACTTTTCTCTTCAGACAGTCAACATGGAATGTTTCGTTTTTTTGCGAATAACTCTACTGCGACTGTCACCAACACAAACTTCGAATCGGGCCTCATCACTCCATTGTATTGCACACCATTGTTGAGGTGTCCATTGTCTATGTTCTTTAGCCCATCTAAGCCGATTTTTCTTTTGCAGTGGAGTTAATAGTGGCTTTTTTTGGCCTATAAACAAGTTGTGCAACTTTAGGGTTTTTACTTCACTTTTTTTATAAGAAAACTTACCTTGCAAGTGATAAATCCCAGTTTGTTGGCCTCTCTATGAGTTGTGGACCTCGAAATTCTCCTTTCAACAGCGTCACTCCACAGGGCACTTAATTGTAAATAATTGGCACGCCTGTTTTTCATGATTATTCTTCTTAATGCTCTTCGGTCGGCATTTGTGATATTACTTTTTTTCACATATTGTGGCTTAATATTAACTGAACCAGTTACGTTATATCTTCTAACAATATTTCTCACACTGTACCGCGATAAGTCTAACAAAGTTGCAATTTCTGAGTTTGATTTCCCAGAATTAAACAATTTGATTATCAGTAACCGAATTTTCTCACTAATAACCTTTCTTCTATCCATTTTGAAAACCTTAACTACCCAAAACTAGTTTAAACGTATTCTGACAGCTGTGATTAATAAAAACAATTGTAATGGCTTTTATTTTTCACAGCCACCTATGTGTTATAGACTTATTTTGCATTGAAATGAAAATAGGTTGATATGCTGTCAGAATACGTTTCTAACTCCAGTGGATAACATAGAGTTACAACAAATAGTGTGTAATCTGAAAAATAATAGCGCACCCGGAAAAGATGGCTTACACACTAAAACTATCAAGATCATCATGAAGTATATCAGTCACCCTATAACTCACATTATCAACCTCTGTTTCAAATCCTCAGTAATTCCTCGCCAATTTAAAGAAAGCATAGTGATACCAATATTTAAATCTGGAAGTAAAGACAATATGTTCAATTATAGACCTAGTTCTGTTATCAATGTATTTGGGAAGATTTTTGAGAAGTGTTTGAATAACAGACTTTGTTCTTTTCTTGAGAAATATGACACAATATCGAACTATCAATTTGGGTTCCGCAAAAATTGCAATACAGAGCAATCTGTACAAGAACTTACAGGACAAGTGCTTGAAAATTTTCAAGATGGAAATAAGACTGTTGCAGTTTTCCTAGATCTTCAAAAGGCTTTCGATTCAGTATCTCATACAAGTTTATTAAAGAAACTAGAAAGTGTTGGAGTGCGTAGTGGAGTTCTGAACTTATTTGAGAACTATTTGGCTGATCGATTACAACAAGTAAAGGTAGGGTCAGATTTAAGCAGCATTCAAAAGATCAAAATAGGTGTGCCTCAGGGGACAGTTTTGGGACCAACACTGTTCCTCATATACATAAATGAACTACTTCGATGTAATTTCAACTGTAAGATGATATCATATGCAGACGATACTGTTTTAGTTAGCACTGGTAATTCATGGGATGACGCAATACGGAATGCCGAGTTGTCATTAAATAAAGTCAAATGCTGGTTGGATAACAATTTACTTAAACTTAATATCTCTAAAACTAAGTATGTAACGTTTTCTCCAACCAAAGCAGGCATGCCATTACACCACCGAACATTAATTATAAATGATAGTGCTGACACTGTCGAAAGAGTTGAAGTTATTAGATACTTAGGAATCACTATTGATAGTAATTTAAAATGGCAGAGTCATGCCGAGCTTTTGGCATCGAAATTAAGGAGAATTATTCATAAGTTTTTCATTCTTAGGAATATTTTAAGCAGAAAGAGTCTTCTCTCAATATATAACTCGTTTGTGGGGTCTCTACTAACTTACGGGATAAGTGTTTGGGGAGCCGCATACACTAGTACTTTAAAAATACTACAAACCACGCAAAATTATATTGTCAGGACTATTTTTCGTATCACATGTAGGTCAAGTTGCAGATTCGTTTACATTGAAAATGATCTTTTGAATGTTAGAGGTTTATATATGTTTGCTGCTGTAAAATTTGTTCCTCCCGAAACAATGTTCCAACCAGCCACGCTTATGAAACAAGAACTAAAATAAATATAAGTTACACCTATACCAGAGTGAATAAATCTGTTTGCCAAAAATGCATAAAGTATGATGGTATTAGGTTGTATAATAAATTACCCCTAGAATATAAAATCCTCTCGAAGTATAGTTTCAAAAAAAGAATTAAGAAGTTCATCTTAAATAACTTTGACATGCTTGCATCGACGGTAGCTTGACTCAACTCAGTAATTTCGTTTCTATCTAATGTTTTTTTTATTTCTTTTTTATATATACATTTGCTCATAATATACCTTATAACCATTAGCCATGCATTGAATTTGTATATTGTATGACACACAAGCTTATAGCTTAGGTGTCTATTCTTTTGTAGTAAATTGTAGTACTCTTGTTTCTCTGCTTAACCTTTACGCAAAATTTTTATTGTTTAAACAACATAGTTTGACCTTACTCGAAATATCCCTGTATTATCATATTTCAGATATTCATATTTTATGTACTCTATATTTATACTTCTGAGTGTTTTTAGTATGCTTCTGTACTATTGTTATGAATTTTAGATTTGTTTATGCAGACACGTAATTTAGGATTTGTGACGACAAGATTCAGACATTTACCCTTTACGAAAGTATACAGACTTTTCACAATTCATATACCGTTACTTGCTGGTTCTAGATCTGATTCTAGTATCTTTTCTCAGATTTCTGTTGCAATCTTGGTTATTCAGGGTAGCAAGACTATACAAGCCCATGTATTTTTGAAGCTTTTTTTTTATTTAAATTGTATTTTTTTTAATTTGTAAGTTATATTGTTTTTTTTTAATTTGAATTTGTATAAACATTGAATAAACTTTGAAACTTTGAATGCTGTAATTGCAACATGTGTTATAATTGAACGGGGAATTCAAAAATAATTTTTACTTGGCAAAAAACTATTAGCGTACCATTTTTTTCTTAAAAAATATCGATGTTAATAGTCGTACGCACGACACTGTTAAAGCTAAAAATTATTTTTGCATGGACAAAATACGCAACTTTATTAACGTTCACTACGTAATAAATATCAGTAAAACATCTGAAGCGGTTCTTAAAATATTAATTAATTTACATTTTTTTCCTAAAACTTGAACACCCCGAGTCTTTGTAAGGAAACATTTTTGGACCATTACAAACTAACATTAATTTTTTATGTAGATTCACACCCTTAAATATTCGCATATCATTAAGGAACAGTATACAACAACTGACCGAAAAATATTATTTTCTCGTATACCCACAACAAAAAAGATTTACTTGTTAGAAGTGTCTACAGCTAATAGTTTTTGAGATATTATCCAGGGGCTAGTAAGAAATCGAGCCACTTTCCATAGTTTTCTCCTCCCAGCTTGCAGTTAGGCCTGAAGGTCTCCTCATGTTTTGTGAAAGTACATTTTTCTTACTATTCCATTCCACGTCTCTTGGAGCTCATTTAACACCATTTCAGAGACATAAGGAAATGATGAAGGATGAGTAAAGAACGTGAAACACAAATTATAATCAAACACGCGTTACGAGAATAAGAGAATCACTTCGAAACTTAATAGCGTTTGCCAATTTAGATTTGCATATATACTGAAGACTACTGCGTAACAAATACATTATTTATTCATCCTTTACCTTTACCTTGCAATTATTGATGTAAAATCTAACATGTAAACAAATATTACATTTATCCATTCATACGTTTCCAGCAACATATCGATAGCATCATTAACAACAGTTATGTGACATCTCGCCGAAATACCTCACAAATGTTGGAGCTTCCATTGACGATTTTTACAGCGTTTGCTCATAATTGTGACATATGTTAATTTGTTAATTTATTTAGTGACAGTATAAACATCCTCATTAATAACCATTACTATGAAATGCAGAAACGTAATAGAAACAGTGTTCACGTAGTTACATGAAAAGATGAATAAATGTTTGATATAATTGATCCACAGGGAACTTTTTAGAAGATATATGGCTTTAATTAGCATATCATTACTTATTCGATTTTTATTATGGATCCTCTTGAATCGTGGGCATAGATTTCATGTTAAGCTGCCAATGTCAGAGAACAGGTTATTTGCCTTACATCTAATAACGGAAGCCAACCAAAAGTAGGGCTACATTCTGTATAAGGATAAGGCATGGGCAGACTTATTGCGTCACTGAATATCCTTTTTGAAGGAAAAATCTTTATATTCTGTCGAAATAAGAAAAAAAAATGTATACAAATCTCTACTCAGCTATCCATAACATTTCAGTGACGGTTAAATTTCTAGTTAGCCCCATACAGCTGATATAGAAAGTCAAACCTTTTCATCATTTTGAATATAAATAATTCGCAGAAAACTGAATCTTGTATGTACGGTGCAATGCGCTTAAAGTTCAGACTGTGACATGTTTGTCTAGAATTCTAGCACATCGACTATATTAGCATAATTGCCACTTGATTGCTGTTTTCTATGCAATACCCGATAACTATGTCACTATTTTGGCATTTAAATTATATATAAAGTGTTGAAATAATTCAGTGAATCTGTAATTTAGCAAATATTGGAGACATATATTATTATCCTTGGTATTGTTAGTGCAGTCGTATCAAATACTCTAAAAAGTGAACATCAGGTCTCATTATTATTAATACCCCAATTACTGTCACTAACTGGTTTACTTTAGATGCTAATTTGTTGTCCGATCATAAAATTGTTTGCTCTATCTTAAACATATCCCGTGTGAAACATGAACAAAAAATGATCACCTTCAGAGATTTCTCACACTTTGATGAGCAATCTTTCATTGATGACCTGGCTAGAGTAAATTTTATTGAAATTTGTTATATGAGGAATATTGATGATAAAGTTCAATTTTTCAGTAGCAAGTTAATTGACATCTTCAATCGTCACTCTCCTATAAGGACGGTACGCGTGAGTAAGCCGAAAGCGCCGTGGTTGTCATATCCGTTGAGACAGCTTCTGAAGCAAAAAACGAGAGCATATTATTTATACAAGATAGACAGAAGTCCAGCAAGATTGCAGGTTTTTAGGGAACTTAGAAACCTTGCACTATCGTGCATTAGACATGAAAAAATGGCGTATCTTGCTCACTTGGAAAAAGGGCGTGATCAGAAAAAATTGTGGTATGAATTGAAAAATATGAAAGCACAAACATCTGATAAGCCACGTATTCCAAACCATCTTGCAGACTCGTTCCTTGCAAAAAATTATTTCATATCAGTTTTTGATTCCACAAATGCTCCTGATCACGTTTTAAGGTATTATAACGAAAATGTTCCTCATATTAATAAATTTTCTTTCAGGCTTCTAGAGCCTCATGAAGTAGCTGAAATAATTTCTAGTTTTAAGTCCGATGCAAAAGGTATTGATGGGTTGAGCTTGTCTATGATTAAGCTCAGTCTGCCTGTTACTCTCATCTACATCACCCACCTTGTTAATAGTTGCCTTGAAAGAGGTTATTTCCCTGAAACGTGGAAGCGAGCAATTGTGGTACCAGTTCCAAAAAAATCAAATCCAGATGAGTTTGCTGATCTAAGGCCTATAAGCCTGTTGCCTTGTTTATCGAAGGTAGTTGAAAAGGCAGCCCACATACAACAAATGCATTATGCAGAGGAACATATCATCCCATCTGATCAGTCTGCTTTTAGGAAATCTTTCAGTACTACTACTTCCCTCTTAAACTTAGTGGATAATATTATTAGAGCGCTTGATAAAAAAATGGGCGTAGCAGTGATGTCAATCGATTATTCCAAGGCATTTGACAAAATAAATCATGAGTTGTTAATTGCAAAGTTGAAGTATTATGGCATAGATCCAGTTGCATTGAATTTTTTTCGAAATTATATATCAAATCGATCGCAGTGTGTATCAATTGAAAACAATAAATCTAGTTTTCTAGAAATCTCGTCTGGAGTACCTCAGGGGTCTGTTTTGGGTCCTTTGTAGTT